CGTGTGTGGAAGCCAGGAGTGTGTGTGGGGTGGGTAGGAGAACGGCGGGGGGTGGGGGTGGGGAGGCAGGGTGGGGGGATGGAGGGAAGGCAGGCCAGGAGCCACTCTCTCTGTTCGGGGAGAGCGTGGTAGCCTGGGCCAGCGGGGGCAAAGGGGATTCGGCCCCCTGGTGGCCGCAGAAGGACCTGAGCCCTCCTGGAGGGATCCAAGGGCCAAGGAGGGAAGGGTTTTCTCTCTACCACTCCTAGTTCAATCCATTTCTCTTTCTGCCCCCCACTGCTCCCAGGCTTCCTCCCGCAACAGGCAGCCCAGAGCCCTGGCCGACCTGCCTGTGCTCCATAAACAGGGAGTGCTGTTATTCTTAGATGCTGATGGATACTGGTTTCCCTTCCCCTAAGGGTCTGGTGTTGCCTCTGCTCCACCCCACCTGATCAGCAGCAGAAACGCTGTTCGATTTAGTGTTATCACCTTTTTTGATAACTTCTCTGGGTGGGCACTTTGGTGGGGGTTCCAAGGGGAGAATGGAGCTTTCCTGGGAAGCTAAGTAACAACAACAACAGCTAGTAGTGCTGGCTAATGTTTTGGGGATGTTTGCTCTGGGCCAGGTGGTGGGGTGGAGGGGCGGGGGCTTTACCTGAATGTAGCTCATCCTTAGGACAGGTGAGAAAGCTGCTGGGGAGAGGTTCTGTGACCTGTCCAATGTCACAGGGAGGGCTAGGAGTGGTGGACCAGGTCTGTCTCACGCCAAACCGGGAGCTTTTAGTTCTACAGCTTTCCAAGCCCAGAAGGGTTTGATGGCAGCTCCCACCTGGTCTGGCAACCCCATCCAGTGCTTGGGGTTGATGTGTCACCCTCAGGCAGGAAGAAGAGCCACCCAAGGCTTTGACTGCCCTTCTGGGCCACACTGGACTAGGCCATTCTCATTCATTTATTCAGCAGGCGTTTATCAAGGACCACTGTTGGCACTGGCCAGCACCCGGGAGATGGCCCTGAACAAGTGTAGTTTCTACACTTCTGGCGCTAACAGACAAGTAAACAAGCAGTTACAGAATAAGGGTGAGTGCTGGAAAGAGCTCCTGGAGGAGGGCCAGCTCTGGGAAGAATGCTCCAAGATCAGACAGCAGTTGTGCAAAGGCCAGGAGGAGAAAGAGCATCGGGAGTGCAGAGGCGTGACCATGCTGGGCCTTTGGGTCAACTTGAGACAGGTGGGCCTGGGTCCTCAGAGCCACGGGGAGCCATGCATGGAAGGGTTTTGATTAGGTTTTTATGGGCCAGTGTGGGAGGCCACCTGAAAAGCAAGAAATCGTACACACACACTTATATGAGACCACCAAAAGGTGGAGTGAACCCCATGTGATCCAAATTCCTGCAAGTGAGTCAGCTTGGAGCTGCTCTCTCACAGATTCCTGGGCCCTGTCTAACACTGGGAATAGACTCTCTGCCCTCAAGTGAGTTTTTAACAGGTGTGCAAGGTGGTTTTGATGGCAGCCAGGCTTGAGACTCTTAGGTTGGATGACCATCTCAGAGTTTCCACTGGAAATGCCCATTTGTCTATTTCCCCTTGACTTGCCAAGGGAGCCTTTAGCTAGGTCACTTCACCTCTCTGAGATTGAGGTTTCCCATCCCTAAAACTGGAACATGGGCAAGGTTTGCACTAGATGGTACTCGGAGTAATCTTTGAAGCTGATATTGTTGTTACCATCATTTACAGGTGAGAAAACTAAGGCTTCGAGAGTTTAAACAACTTACCCCAAATCACAAAGCCGAGAAGTGGCTGAGTCTGTGTTTAACCTTCTACACTCTACAGCTCTTTATGGGTCTATGTCTTTTCCCAGAATCTGGGCCCGGTTTCCCAGGACCATGAGGTATAAATGGGATGGGGACAGAGGAGCAACACAACCCTGAACAAGTATAGTTAACATCTTGATACAGACATGACATCTTAATCTCCCCAGGTGGGAGTCTCCCCTGGGGAGCCCAGCACCACGGACAAGTGAAGGATTAGGTCCAGTCCCTGTGCTTTCAATTGGTCCCAGCTGGCCAAAGCCAGGCACATAAACAGAATGGCAACAGAGGGAGCTTCTCCCAGAGGAGCTGAGGAGACCAGAGGAGGAAACCTCTAGCAGCTGGTTGAGTCTAGGAAATCTTTCTGCAAGAGAGCCTTTTGAACTGGGTCTTGCAGGACGAGTTAGAGTTTTGCAGCCGAGGAAGAGAGGGAGGACATTCACTTCGGGCAAAGGGATCAGCTTGGGCAAATGCACAGTAGGGTATGTGTGTGGGGGATCATGGGAGGAGAGAGTCTGGAAGGAGGTGATAGGCTTGGATGGGTGGAGAGGGTATAGAGGAGACGTGGCCAGAAGGGACCCATGGGAAGAGAGGGGGTTTAAACTGGAGATTTCATTTTTTAAAAAAGATTTTATTTACTTATTTGAGAGAAAGAGAGAGAGAGAGAGAGAGAGAGCAAGCATGCACAAGCAGAGGGAGTAGGAGAGGGAAGAGCAGGCTCCCCACGGAGCAGGGAGGCCAACACAGGGCTCAATCCGAGGACCCTGGGATTATGACCTGAGCTGAAGGTCAATGCTTAACCAACTGAACCACCCAGGCTCCCTGGAAATTTCATGGTTTTATGTAAGTTTTTGAAAGACCCCTTTGGCTAAGAATGGAAATGGACTGGAGGGAGCAATGGAAGGTGGAAGGAGACCATTGAGGGAGTCGCTAAGGTCGTTCACGTAAGAGATGAGTGATGAAGAGCTTGAGAGACATTCAGGAGACACAGGTGCTCTGAGCTGAGTTTGGGAAATAGTGCAAAGATGAGATTTTGAAAATGTTAGTTAGGGTTTTGGCTTAGTGAATAAGTAAAACCATAAATGAACACAGGACATTACAGAAGGATGAATCAATTTGGGGAATACTAAACATACCAGTGACCATTTGTCGAACACTCAGGAGGCGCCAAGTACCATGCCAAGCTCTTTATACACATTAGGTCACTAGGACTCAGAACCACCCTCGGGGACAGGTACTCTCATTGCATTTGTTTAAACGAAGAGTGTCAACTGCCTTTCTGAGATTAGCAGGCAGCAGGGGCAGGATTTGAACCCACTTTTGATTCCTAAGTCTGTGCTCTCAAGCCCCACTCCATTCTGCCTGACCGAAATACTAGCCCTTACTTGAGACTCAGCTCAAGGGCAGGTTCCTCTGGTGAGCCCTCCCTGATTCTTCCTGGGTTTCTGCTCTGCGAGACCTATGCATGCTTCTGTTGTCACGTTTCTCACACTCCCTTGGCAGTTTGTAGAGCCCTCTGCTTCCCCAGAAGTTGGTCCGAGAACTGAAGGCAGGGGTGGTTCATTTTTGCATCCTCAGTGTCTAGCACGTGTCCACTGGCTGGCTGAATGTTAATTGTTCTGGGCAATTGTGTTCCCTTCTCTTTTCTACACATTCATTTAGGGAACAAGTTCTGCTAGTAATAGTTTCTTACATATTTCTCTGTGCTGTTCCTTTCTATCTCCGCTGCCAGAGCTTAGCACTGACCTCTTTGAGATCATAGAAGAAGGGCATCTAACGTGTGATGGAGTCTAGGAGGCTTCCTCTGGAGGTATCCCTTAAGCTTGGAAAAATGAGCCAGAGCTATTTTGGTAAAGAAAGGCACTCCAGGTAGATGAAAACTCATAATAAATGAAGGCACAGAGGTGTGAAACAGTCTGCATGGGGGACTATGAGGGGTTTAGCCTGTGTTACTAAAGATAAAGAAATATGCTTGGCTGAGACTTGTGGAACAGAAGTGAGAAGGCAGGGCTAGTGAGGGCGTTATTTCTCTATACAGTTGACCCCTGAACAATGACCGCGCTAAGGGCACCCAACCCCCTAACATTGGAAAATCCATGTATAACTTTGACACCCCCCAAACTCAACTACTAATAGCTTGCTGTTGACCAGATTCCTTCCTGATAACATAAACAGTTGATTAACACATATTATGTATGTTATATGTATCATGTACTGTATTCCTACAATAAAATAAACTGGAGAAAAGAAAATATTATTAAGAAATCATAAAGAAAGAATATATTTCTAGTACCATTCTGCATTTATTGAAAAAAACAAACAAACAAACAAACAAAACCCACGTGTAAGTGGATCCACACCGTTTTAAGCCCCTGTTGTTCAGAGGTCAACTGTACCTGATGAAATAGATGTCTGTACAGGGCATAGTGGGGACACAGGGGGAGTGAATACTTGTATCTGAGAGGTAAGGCAAGACTTAGGTTTCACTATATTTCAGTTCTTAGTATACTGACAACAGAACCATTTTATTTCCTGTGGCTATGTACCTGGAGCAGCACTTAACATGCATTATCTCATCAAACCCTCACAACATCCTGTGAAATAGGTGTTATTACCTTTATGCATAAGAGGGAAAGGAGGCTCTGGCCGATTAATAGTGTTCCCAAGGTCATGTGGCTAGAAAACTAGCCTACATCGAAGAGTTCTTAGAGTTCTAGACTATATCCTGCTAAGGAGATCTTCTTGGAATCAACGAACGTGTCTTTTATTTTTGTGTGTCCAGACCTAGGACTTAGAGACGACCAATAAACATCAGTTTAATAAATGAATGGATGACCTTCTACTTTTCTCCACGCGGAAAGCACGTGCTGACGTCACTGGGAAACCCTCCAAGCCACGAGGGGGCGCAGTCCCATCTCCGTGCCGCGGAGCCCGAGGCTGACGCTCAGCTCCCTCCGGTCCTTTGACTGGAGCTCAGCTAATCGGCGCGCTCGGAGCGAGCTGGCGCCGGTGGGCGGGGTCCCGGGGCCAAGCCCGGCAGGCCGCTGGGAGGGTCGACGTCGGTGCTCCCTGCGAGCGAGCTAGCGAGAAGGCGGGCGGAGGGCGGGGGCAGGACCGTGGAGTGCGGGTTGCGGCGCAGGTGAGCACGAGGTCCCAGCGGGCAGTTCCCTCTACCCGAGCGGCCGCCGGGGCCGCCCGTTGTCAGGTGACGGCTCCTGGCAGTGAGTGACCTCTGAGTTAGGGAAGGGTGTCGGCTCCGGCCCTGGCTGGGCCTGACATCTTCCCAGGGCTCGGGGGCCGAGTCTGGGCGCCCAGCAGACCCCCGGCGGCCAGCGCTTCTCGGGCTCAGGCACGGGGGTGAGAACGGACGCTGCAGAGGCCACGAGGGTGGTGAGATACGGGCAGGGGACCGGGAACCCAGAGGAGGGAGAAGGCCAGATACTTGGGACTCAGATCTTAGTTGCGCTCGCATCTCTGGGCCGGGCTCGAGTGACGGTCAGGGCCAGTCCTTCCACCCTGTCAGGTCTCCTCTGCCCCTCGGACTGCGGCTTCTGGTCTCATTGGGCTTCAGGGGCGCCCGCACAAGGGCAGGTTTCCTAGCAACCCACTTGACCTTTACCGGACACTCGGGCTGCGGGGTTGGAAAGAAGACGTTCGAGAGTTTGCGGGATGCTTTTGCCGCCTTCATTTTGATACCCTGGGGATGACTTGTTAGGGAGTGTTTAGCTTCTTGCATCAGCAAAGTAGCCTGCTGTATTCCTGCCGCCTTGTGAGGGCGAGGGTTGGGCGTCTGCTGAGGTTTTACACTGGTGCGTTGTTAGAGCTGTCATTCATTCACTTAACAAACTTTTCTGGGAGCACTTTACGGTAGGCAGGGCAGGCAGGTGGGGGATGGATAGGTCACAGTGAGGGCTGTAGAGATATGGTCGTTGCCCTTTTGTAGCTTCAGTGTTTTGAGAAATGCAGACAGGTGGGGTAGGCCTCCAGCATAACGTCTGACAAGGAGAAAGTGGTTCTAACTGTTGAATAAATGAATGCATTGACTTATTTGGGAATGATTAGAATGTGGGCGGGACATCAGAGAGAGCCCTTTGCTGCATGTGGGAGATGCTGTGAATTATGGACTCATGTTTGGTTTGTTTTACAACAAATTGGGGATCTGAATGGCGGATTGCTGTTTAGGGTACATATTTACTTATGCATAGCTTGCATAAAAGGTGGAAAAGAAAATGAAGTATTAGGTATGAGGTTCTTTAGGGGTGTTTCTTTTAACATTGTCTGAGTCCTATAATCTCACATATCTCTGAGTAATCTTATAGTTTGCCAAAAGGGAGACTCTTCCATATAGTGACATGCCAAGTTGATGGAAAAAAATTGCAGGAAGCACTCCCCAAGTCCAGTATTTGGACAGAAACAGTACACCTATCTGCAGTGTGTTCTTGCCACTAGAAAGAGCACAAGTGTTGAAGTTTGGAGAGGCCTGGATTCAGAAGCAGTGGTTCTGTCACTTCTAGTGATCTTGGACAAGTTCACATAATGTCCCTGAGCCTTTGTGGCCTTAGACGCAAACCTGGGCTAATAATTCCTACCTCATAGAGGTATTGTTAAGATCAGTTGATGACCAGCGGGTGACTTGTCCAGCATAGGCCTGGTGCTGAGACAAAGGACCCAGGGGGGAACATTGGAGCTGCTACAAGCTTTTCCCTGATAATGGTCCGTGATAGTCTTGGGTCCACAGAATGCTGGGATTTCTCTGAAGAGAATTAGAACCAAAGAAAGAGAGAGCATCATTCTGTTCTTGGTGAGATTTCAGTTGTACACTTTAGAGATAGCCAAGTTGGAGAAACACCTACATAGGTGCAAATGGAGTGAGTGATCTTTTGTTTGAGACTTTGGGGCAAGTTACTTAACCCTCTGATAATACCATCTACCTCATAGAGTGGACATGAGGGTAAAAGGAGATACTATATTTAAAATGTTTAGCCCAAGGACTGGCACATAGGTGCTCAGTAAATGGTATCGATCATTATTATGATAATGTGAGTAATCTTTTTTTTTTTTTTTTTTAAGAGACTTTATTTATTAGTGAGCAAGAGAGAGCAAGTAGGGGGAGCAATAGAAGGAGAGGAACAAGCAGACTTTACTCTGAGCATGGAGCTGGGCTTGGGACTCGATCCGACAACCTTGAGATCATGACCTGAGCTGAAATCAAGAGTCTGAGGCTTAACCAACTGAGCCACCCAGGTGGCCCGTGAATAATCTTTGATAACTGTTAATGGTAATAGTCTTGAGACTAAATGGCCATTAGAGTGAACCAGTGTGTGTGTTTCTGTATTTTTATTGGTGTTGTCTTCATTTCAGGGCGCTCCAGAGCCATTCCACTCTCCCCCGCACCCTGCCATGGCTTTTACAATGTGTGTGTGTGTGTGTGTGTGTGTGTGTGTGTGTTTTAAAACAGCATAATTCAAGGTCTATCATGTTCAGGGTATGTATAATGTGTTGGTGATATATTTAGGAGTTTATTATGCAAATATGAGGGTATGGGTTTGGTTGGCGGGAATGTATTTTGAAAGGGGTTTGGACAGCAGGTTTGCAAAGCATAGGTATGTTTCATTTTTAGAAAGATCAAGTTCAGAATAGGAAAAAATAATTATCTAAACTCCAGAATGGTTGAGTAATGGATTAGGGTTTTGGCTATTTAAATATGCTCCTTATTCTTTGTGTGAGGTAAAGGAACTACTTCTCATTATCTGGGAGCCAGGAGAGTCACAGTGGGACTATACACGGTGGGAAAAGTGTGGCTGGCTCTGTTCATGGAGAAATTGCTTAGAGCAGAGGAAGGCTCTTTTCCATTCCTGACATGTCGGTAAAGTGTGGAGGGAGGGCCTGGGGCCAGTCACAGGCTTGAATCTTTGTTAGGTAAGCTCAGAGGTTCTCTTGTGGGGAACACTGTCAAACACGGTTGCATAATGGTCAAAGAGTACGGTACATAAAATAGAGATTCTTGCCCTCTTCCTTAACAATCACGTCTTTCAGAATTTTCTAGATTGTTTTGGGGCTCTAACTGTTGCCCAAGCAAGGTACCCTCTTGCATGACTGTGTGGTAGATGCTCAGTCAGTTGTGCCAGACTGCCTAGCGAAAGGAGAGCCCTGGTGGGTTGTCTGTATTCGGTGGGAAGGGGGATGCTGGTTTCTCCCTAATGCTGCCTTGTGCTCTTCTGCAGATGTCATGTGGCCTGTGCTTTGGACCGTGGTGCGTACCTATGCTCCCTATGTCACATTTCCTGTGGCCTTTGTGGTCGGGGCTGTGGGCTACCACCTGGAATGGTTCATCCGGGGAAAGGATCCCCAGCCTGTGGAGGAGGAGAAGAGCATCTCTGAGCGCCGGGAGGACCGAAAGCTGGATGAACTTCTAGGCAAGGACCATACCCAGGTGGTGAGCCTTAAGGACAAGCTGGAATTTGCCCCTAAAGCTGTCCTGAACAGAAACCGCCCGGAGAAGAATTAACGAAGGACACAGAGCCCTATGGGTCCTTGTGTGGGCCATGACTGGCGCTGCCACCATGTCTACCCTGCTTCAGAACCCACATGGGATTTGCTTTGTTGCTCATTCTTGCCCCTCCCATACCACCCAGCCCCGCACACACTGGCCGCTCTTCTGTTGCCAGGCGGACACGAGAACAGCTGAGGGGCCAGGGAAGAGGAGGGCCCTTGAGGGTTCTGGCCTGAAGGCTGCATGTGTTGTATGGTGGCCGAAACTGCTCAGGCTTCTGTGCTTCTGGGCGCACTTCGGGGAGGAGTATCATGAAATGAATGATGGCTGGCTCTTTCTTTGGGGAGGTACTTTGGTCTCAAGTGGGAGTGGCTGGGGTTGGCATGCTGCCTTAGGAGGGATGCCTACATGCCTAGGTCCAGTGTACACTGGGAAGAATTCAAAAAGCTACCTGACTCCCTTTACTAGTTTGCCCTCTTCTTGTACTCATTCTTCCTGAAATCCTGTCCTGTCAGCTCAGGAATGAGACTCCCTGGGGAGAAAAGCCTTTTACTGTCCTTGGAAGCCCAGGCTGTTTGCCTTGGGACAGGTGAATTTGCTTGAAAACAGACACCCCCCCCATCACTGTATGGTACAAAACTTCATTAAAGTTGCACCTGACAACCATATTGATCTAATCCGATCTTCCAGATGGTGTTGGAGTCTCCTTAGGAGTTATGCAAGTGCAGGCATCTCAGGGTTGGATAACATTGACCTTTAACCAAGGGCTTTGGGGCCCAGGCACTGAGTCCTGCAGGTACATGTTTCCAGGATCCTTTTTGTCATGATGAGATGAGGTTTATAGGACCTTTAAAAATGTGAATTCAGTGTAGAACAGGGAGCTTAACAGTTGCTATCAAAATTTTCAACTATACACAGACATACATTTTCTCCTGTAAAAGTAATATATATACATGAAAGAACATTTGGTAGAGATTGAAAAAATGGTTGTCCCTACTCCAGGGCTCCAGTACAACTAAAAAAGTAGCATTTTGTTACCTCTCACTAATTCTTGGCATAGTTTTAAAAATTTTTAAAAAAGATTTTTATTTATTTGAGAGAGAGAGTGCAAATGAGAGAGTGCACAAACAGGGGAGGGGTAGAGGAAGAGAGAAGCAGACTCCCTGCTGAGCAGGGAACTTGACTTGGGGCTCAATCCCAGGACCCTGGGTCCATGACCTGAGCCGAAGGGAGACGCTAAACTAATTGAGCCACCCGCATGCCCTGTTATTTTAAGATTCTTATCGTTACTGTCTCTTTAATTTTATATATTTTTTACATAGTGTTTTATATTGTAATCATTTTTCTGTCTTATCACATGGTCTTCATCGTAGTTGTTTTTAATAGCTGCATAATTGCCCATGAAGTGGGAATAAAGCATAGTTTGTTTTTAATAATTTCCCAGTTGCTGGACACTTGGGTTGTTTTTGATTGTTCACTCGTGTAAGTAAGTATCACAATGACTGTCTTTTATAAGGCTTCTTCTGCATTTGGGAGTAAATGGCAGGACCAGTAAATGGCATTTTGGATGAAGTGGAATGAGCAGTTTCAAGGTTCTAAATGTCTTTCCTGCATGGATGCAGGGGTTTATACTAAATGCTGCTGCTTAAGATGTTACTGGAGCTATTGGAAGGGCAGTGAGAGCAGAGGGCAGGAAGAGGCACGAGGACCTATTGTCTCGTGAAGTCCACTGACATTTAACCTAAGTGAGGAGAAGGAAGTAAGGAGCGCATAATGAAGAATGCACAGTCTTTAAAAACGGGGGAGGAAGGGGCGCCTGGGTGGCTCAGTGGGTTAAAAACGGGGGAGGATGTCTGTCCTGCTTCTCTTATCTCAGGATCTGAGGCCTGATGGTGTTAACAGGCAGGCGAAGGTGGGAAGCCTGAACAGTAGAGATGCTAGCTGTGGAGTGGGAGGAGCTGGGAAGATGTGGAAGGTGGTAGGTAGCCAGAGAGGAGGAGAGAATAAGTCGCTAGTGGCTCCTCCTCTGTCCCTGAGGCTAGTGGGCAGGCTGAAATGAGCTGCTGTTGCTTGTAGGGAATAAATCTGATGGGGATTGGAGGGGGCGAGCGTCGCCTGCTGAGGTAAGAATGAGATTTCTGGTTCGAAAGGATGTGCCAACCTCAGCTTGGTTAGTCACTGGCTGGTGGGTGGGCCTCAGTGACAGCTCAGTGCTGCCCCCCTGTGGCCTTTCTGAGCATGAAGAAGCCTGGCATTGCTTCCCTGGGCTTCAGGAGGAGTAACAACGACCTGCCCACAGGGGTCAGTCGGGCGACTTCAGTGAGCAGGCCAGGCCGGGAACTAGATGGACACGCCTGCCTAAAGAGGGTGGTGGCCATACGGCCTTTTCCAATGTATGCTGTTTGCCCAATGATGCTAAAATTTTCAGTTTTTTTCCTAAAAGATGCTGGAAATTTAGATTTTTGTGCATTTTTTTTTGAAATTTGATTTTTAAGTGTTGGCATTTTATTTTGTTTCTTTTTAAATTCTAAGCATGCTCACATACCCATGACATTAATTTGACCCAAGGGCTGCTGATTTTATGACCTCCCAAACTAGCCTGTCCTTCCAGTGAAGTCTGAGAGGTATCCAATTTTTTTTTTCCCCCAATAATCTAACAACTTGTGGCAAATATTAGGGCCCAGGAGTGGTTTCTCTTGAAACACTTCTGGGTGTCATGCACGTGTGTTGTTTAATATCTGTTTAAGCAGAACACTGGGGGACAGAAAACCTACAGAAACGGCAGCAGCAGAGTTTTCCCACAGCCTGAGACTTTTCTGGACTTGCAGATATTTCAAAGGAAGCCTGTCATGGCTGCTGTGCCTCCTCCCAGGGCCTGGCCACGGGAGCCCCATCTTTGGAAACCCAAGTTGTTCCCTTCCAGCCATCTCACTTTATGCCCCCTTTTAAGTAATTTCATTTCCTAGGGCTTGCCCTCACTGAATCTCTTCCTCTGGCAAGTCTATTAATATCCGCAGCTGGGTCTCTCTTTCCCACGGCCGCCTGGGACCTGCTGCGGCTGGGGGGGCGTGGACATGGTGCGTGATTTCTTGCCTCTGCTTGGGAGACTTTAGGTAGCAGGGTTTCTGAGGATGTGGGCAAAGGCAGGCTGAGCTTGCTGGGATGCCCCAGGGTACTGGTTTTCTTCCATGCTTGCTGATTCACCTTGGAGGCATGTGTCCCATTGTTGGGCTGGCCCAACCGTCACAATTCACTGAAACATATTAGTGAGTAGAGGTGCTGGGTGCTTTTTGCTTGGTGCCCCCCCACCTTGGGTGTTTTCCTGGCCCAGTGATGGTGGCGGCTTTAGAGGGGGTTATCCTGTCTGAGCCGGGCAGGATTCACTTCTCTCCCCCTCAGCCGCCCAGTGTCTGGTGCTTTTCCACTCTCTCTAGAGCCTTTCCTGTGCCTGTTGCTGTGTTAGCACAAGTCAGCTGGGCAGCTGCCAGGATAAGCCTGCCAGGGAGCCCTTTGACTCTTGTCGGCCTCCCAGGGTTCCAGGCTGCTGGGGCTGGTGGCCGGGTGAAACGCTCTGGCATGGGCCTCCCTGGAGCTGCCTGGGAGCTGGGCAGCAGAGATGGAACAGCTCCTGTCTTGCCTCCCTTTCCCTTTTCAATGTTGGTGTGGCTGCCTGTGCACTGGCAGAGTGGCAAGCCAGGCTGTGCGGCAGAGGAAAACAGAGTGTGCTCTGCAGTCTGAAAGACCAGAGTTACGAATGCTGCCTCAAGGACTAGCTGACCTGGGCTAGTCACTTAGCCTTTCTGAGCCTCACTGTCCTCATCTGTCAAATGGGCATATGAATACCTATTTTCTGCTGGGTTGTAGCAAGTCTAAGGTAACTTATGTGAGGTTTTTAGCAGAGTCCATGGCAACAAGTAGGTGTCGATGTTAGCTGCTTTCATTTGACTGTAGGAAAAGCCTCCACTTCCTGCAGTAGTGGCGTGTATCCTTGTGATCCTGGTGAAGTGGGGATCCGGAGGCAGGAGCAGCCTTGGCTAGGAGATTGATGATGGGGACCCTCATGGGCCTGGCAGTGGAGGGGTGCTTAGGAAAACTTTACAGAAAAGACCATGTTGCATAAGAACCCAGCTGGCCAGACCTGTGTCGCTTAGTAGGCATCCCAGTGGTGCTTTCTGCGGGGTCAGAGACGGAAAGTGGGGAGCAGAATGCCCAGGAGTCATGGATCAGGAGCACAGGTAGAGGAAAGAGCCATGGATTTGGGGGCAAGGAAAGTGGGTGACCTGGGACATGACCTTTCACTTCTGGCCTTGGCTTCTCTGCCTGCAAACTGGGGATGTGAGTGTGTTCCCTGCTGATGGTGTAAAAAGAGAGGGAACCCAGCTCCGAGAGTGTTCTGGAAATGTGCGAGTGCTAGGCTCTAGCCCAGTGACACCTCACTGCGCATCGGGGTGGTAGCCAGGCTGGGTAATGAAATCAAAATAAATGCTCTTTACTTCCTTTTCTGTCCACAGTCTCTCCAAGTATCTGCTAAAAAGCAGTCTTTGGTATATCAGCTTTTAAGAAAAAAGAAGAGTATTTGAATGGCCGTCCCATATTGTACCGATGGGTCTGCAGACAGCTCCGTAATCTAGTGTGTGACTGGGAGAAGTTCCTTTGCTTCTCTGAGTGTCCTCTTTGGAGTGGGGTTAGTTCTGTCTCCCTCACGGAGCTGGGACAATCGAGGGGATGTTTGGAAAACACCCAGCATGGTGTTTGGTGTGGAGCCTATCCCCCCTCTCCTGTTTCTCAGGCTATCTGTGACTCTCCTGTCCCCATGGCGTTCCCTCAACAGCCTGCGGCCACCCTCCTCTGCCTGGCTCATCTCTCCTGTCCCTGCTTCAGGGCCTCATCTTGCCTCAATGTTCAGTCTCTCCCTGGAAACTTCTGTTCCTGCTGGCATCTTCTTTCTCCAGTACATCTTTGATGAGGTCACTGCTTGAAGACCTCCATGGCTCCTTTCAGCCTCTTGCCCCAGCCTCCCTCCCGCCATCCCTG